AGGATGCCAGTAGCAGCAAGATCTTCTCATTAGAGTTCAAGGTTTTCTTTCTCACCCAGGACATGCAAATCACAGAAACAATGAAAGCATTTATCCACATGCCAGCAAACGCCTGGAGAGTGCCGATGGCCACAGATGTGACAGCATATGAGGTGATATTGGATATCTCTGAAGAGTGACAAGCTTCCATCCTGGGAGCTGGGAGCAGTGCTGTGCTGGACAAGGGAGCTGTTGCACCAATGCCAAGCGCAGGTCAGCGGCTGCTGTTCCCTGAGTGTCCCGTCTGGAAAGAGGAGCTTTATAGAGCTGCTGGTGGGGGGGATTGTGGTGCCGCTCCTCTTGAGAGCAGGGCAGGTGCAGGGATGTAAATGTGCTGGGTATCCCCTTACCTGGTGTCAGTGTCCCTCTGCAGTATTTGAATGTTGGTTCAGGAGGGCTGTGTTGAGTGACACAAAGAGTGCAGATGTTTTTTTTCAGAGTTCAGTGTTGTGATTCTGTGACTGACCCTTGTTTGATCCCTGTCAGGCTTTATGACCTGGGTTCTTCTGTTCCTTGACCAGCAGTGATGTTCTTGGTGAGCAGAGTTTGCTCTCAGCAGAGTACAGTCAGGGGAGTCACTGTGCTCTTTCATCCAGGAGTCCTGGAGCTGCACATTTTATTTGAACTGTTGTAACTGGAGTTCCTTATGATCCTTCACAGGCATTGAAATCCATGAAAGTTTTCTCCATGGTAATGCCTTTCATGAAGAACCACATAGTGGGTGGAGGGGTTGTTGAAGGAGAATCTCTTTTCCAGAAGCTCAATTTAAAGCATATGAGGGAAGAGGTTAAAAATAATTAAGAGTCCCTGTGCAAGGGTTCAATCTCATCTGCTACAAATCTGAAAAGTTTTGGGGGTGGGACCATGCTGAATTCCCCCTCATCTAAAAACCCTCAAGCTTCCAAATGAATTTAGGTCCTGAAAGGTCAGGGGTTTTTTAACAGGCAGGGTCTGCTAAGCTCTGTAGGTCATGGAGTGCCCTTGGATTCTTGGTTAATACAGGACCTTGGGACCACAGGTACCAAGGAGGCCTCGGCTGATGTTGTGGTGTAACCAGAAAATATTGAAATCAGAGCAAATGGTTCTGGGGTTACAAGAAATAAATCACCAGCAATTTCTCTTCAGAATGATGATGCCCTTATTTTCTGGGGAACAGAAATGCAATCACTGTGTCACATGAATATTCTTATCACGCACTCCTATTTGCCTAGCAGTTTTTGTGAAGGCCCTTGTACAGCACTGACAGATGCAAATGTTTTTAGAGAAGGCCTGGATTTCATCTCAAGAACAAAACACAGTACCTGCCACGCATTCCCTTTAAATCCATTCAGATAGTCACGGGATTGTCATAAAAATGCAAGTGAGATCTTCACCTCCCTTTTTCTTTTATATTTCCTAGAAAATATCAGAGTATTGTCATGAAAGAATTTTATTTTTCTTGTTCTGTTCTGTGCTTCAGTCTGGTGTGAGTTAACTTGGACTTCTGAGGGGAAGACTTTGACCTCTTAAGGACAATGTTTATGTCGGGAGAGTCCCTTCAGGGGGAGGGGCAGTCCTGAAGGGCAAAACAGTCTAGGTTGTCTGGACATCCTTCAAGGAGGACATCTTGAATGTGCTGGAGCAGGATAGCCCCACATGTTGAAAAACGAGATGTCAGGGAAGAAGAGCAGCCTGACTGAACATGGAAGTTTTGCTGGAACTCAGGAAAAAAAGGAAATGACAAGGTTTTGATGGAGGCTCAGGAAAATCAGGATGACTGCAAGGGTGTCACTAGGTTATGCAGGAAGAAAGTAAGACAAAAGCCCAACTACAACTTAGTTTGGCCACTGCTGTAAGAGATAACAGGAATTGTTTTTACATGTCCACTAACAAGGAAAGGAGGGCTGAGCAGAATCTTCATCCTTTTTTTGGATTTGAGGTGAAATATTACCACAAAGGATGAAGAGAAGGCTGAGGTACTTATTGCCTTCTTTGCCTCAATCTGTAAAAGTCAGAGCAGTTGTCCTAAGGGTACTGAATCATCTTAGCTGGAAATCAGAGATAAGGAATGGAATGAAGCCCCCCTAAACCAGGAAGTATCTAGTGACCTGATGTGCCACCTACACACTCCCAAGTCTCTGGTGCCAGATGGGATCCACCCAAGGGTACTGAGGAAGCTGGTGGAAGAGGTCACCAAGACATTCTCCACCGTTTATCCCAGGTCCTGGCTAACCAGGGAGGTGTCAAAAGCCCAGAGCTTGGCAGTACCACGGCCAGGGTTTGGGCTCAGCTCTGTGTGGGGAATGTGGTACCTTATAAAAAACCTACTGGTAAAAAGTCAGACTCTCAAATGCTGGGTTTTCAAAGCATGGATAGTGTGAAACAGGCACTTGAAATAGAGGTGTCAGCTTTTAATTCAAATCCATCCCCTCCAGCACCACTCAAGAAGGGGAAGGAGTATCCCAGGCTTTGTATCTACCAGCCCATGTGCACATTTTGGATGCCCTTGTGCATCTCAAAGAGCACCAGACTGCTGTGTTTCTGTACTGGATGGACACACAGATGTACTGGGATCTGAGAGACATTGCACACCAATTGAATTGCTTCCATCTGAGCTTAGCTCAGGCTGAACATCTTCCCAATGCACAATCCTTGTCTTTCTCCTTCATGATGGGAAATCCCAGATGAGCAGCCTTGCTAACTACTTAGGCTCTTGGTTGCCCAATTTCTTCTGGGCAAACCCATTCCATTTATAACTGAACTTTAATCTTCAGAAGGTCACAATTGAAGAATACAGTCCTGGGAAAGAGACTAAAAATGTCCTCTGGGCAGGTGTTTTGAACTTTTTATGGAAAAAGAGAGATTGTGTTTGGAAAAGGCAATATTACAGTGGTTGAGAGGTTGCTCTGGACTAAATGGTTCTTTCTCTCATTTCATGAGGAGAGAGGAAGGTTTTTGACAGTAGTATTTCCCCACCTCCCACCAGAGCCTTTCACTGCTGGGACTGAAGCCCCTTTGCAGGGGCAGCTCCTGTGAGCCCATGGCTGACCGGCTTGAGCCCCTACACAGACCACACCTACAGAGACACACCCCCAGAGTCCTTACCAGCTCCACACTGGGTTTTCCATAGCAGAGTCTCAGGCATCTGGATCTTTAAAATAATTTAATCATGGCACAGAAGCAGCACGAGCTGAGCGCCACTGAGAAGGGACCCCCAACAACCAAATCCCTGGATTTTGCACCCTTCCAGTCTATGCACATGATAGCCTGGGGTCTTGGCTCCATGCCTGGGGCTCCTGCCTTTTCCTGCCACCCAGAGCACAACTTGCAGCTCTCACTGTAGCTGCACACTGAGCTGCCTGCACTGAATGTATTCCTCAACTATTTCATGTTTAGTTGACCTGCTACAGTGGGGTGACCTTGGGCACACACTCAGTTGCTCCTAATTTGCACGAAGATGCAGTGGAAAATAAGATAGAAACCTCATGGGCTGATATAAATACAGAGACATCACTCACCAGTTACTGTCACGGACACAACAGACTCAAGTAGGGAAAAATGAATTTATTGCCATTTGAAAATAGAGTAGAGTGATGAGGAACAAAAACTAAACTAGTACCCCTTGCTCCACCCCCATTCATTCCAGGCTCAACTTCACTCCTCCAATCCCAGAGTCTCTACCTCCTCCCCTACAGCAATGCAGGGGAACAGAAAATGGGGTTTGCAGTCACATCATAATGAGCTGTCTCTACACCTTCCTCCTCACATTCTTCTGTTCCAGCGTGGGTCCGTCCCATGGGCTGCAGTCCTTCTGACTGCACCCAGCTATTCCATGGAGTCATCCTGTGGGCTGAAGGTGGATCTCAGCTCCCCCATGGACTTCCATGCATTGCAGAGGCACAGCTGCCTCACCATGGTCCTCTCCAGGGGCTGCAGGGGAACGTCTGCTCTGGCACCTGGAGCAACCCCTCCCCTTCCTTCACTGTCCCTGTTGCTGCAGGACTGTTTCTCACAATTGCCAGGCCAGTTTTTTGCACTTTTTAAACTGTCTTTTCACAGAGGAGCCACGACCACCACTGATGGGCTGAGCTGTGTCCTGCAGCGGGTCCTTTGGTTTGCCTTGAAGTGGCTTTCCCTGGCACAGGGCAGCCTTGACCTTGCCTCACTGAGACCCCCACCAGGCCCCAGCTGCCAGCACATGGCCCAAGCACCTTGTACATCTGCCTGTGGGTCACTGTGAGATGACAGCAGGACTTTATTCCGTGCTGCACCATGCACAGATCCCACTTTCCCAGGTGTTTTACTGAGACAGGCTCCACTGGGAAGAGCTGATCTCACCTACAAGTGAAAGCAGAGCAGGAGAGAATCACTCAGGGCAGGGCAATCCTGTTCTTGCAGGAAGTGGGACAGAGAGGACACTCAGGGCTGGTGTGGGAAGTGGGCTCTGCACCCACCTGTGCACCCCACGGCCATCCCTGCATGGCTGTTTGTGCGTCAGTGACCACCCCTGGAGAGTGACAGGGATCAACATGTTCACACCTCAGTTATCAACCCCTGCCAGGCAGTGACACAGCTCATCATCTTACACGAGAAGAGGGCCACAGCAGCAAGAAATGTAAACTAAAACAGAGATAAACCTGTTGTTTAGTTCAGTCATTTCAATCAGCAAGTGCCAAAGCATTTGTAGCAAGTTTGCAGAGTCATTATTGCCCTTTTGCATCCAGGCCATGCACCAGCTCAAAATGAAGTTCTTATAGACAATAATTCAGCCCCAAAAGTATCTAAACTAAACTATATGAATAATGAATCATTTAACTCACAATAATTTAGTTCAAAGAATTTGAATGCAGTTTCCTTAGCTTAGATGGGGAAGAGGGAAGTATCATCTACACTGCCTGGAGAGTTGCATTAGAGATTAAGGGACTTGTTTACTACAGTGAAGGGTCAACATTTTGCATGGGTTCCAGCTTTAGTTACAGTTCCTACTTCATGCAAACCATGCACTTCACACAGGGCAGAATCCTTAACAGTGTCTTTTCCAGACTGGGGTTGCTGAAAATCAGAATGAGGGAATGAACACCTGGAAAAACATACATAAATACATAAATCATAGACATCAGGTGAGTTTCCTCCTTTGTAGAATAAATCATTCCTACAACCAAACATATAAAGTTGATGCTGTACATTATGGAAAAGGAGAGAACAGATTTCATGGCTTTGATGTGGGCATCCATGCTGAGGTCCTTCATGGAGTTTGTTTGCATGTTGCATTTGTGTCTCCAGAGGGAAAAGAGAAGCAGAAGGGCAGAAGAGATGACTGCTGTGAATGAAGTGGCATATCCAAAGCCAGTGATAAAATAAAAAGTGAACAAATGTTCATCTGTCTTGATTTGCAGTTTCCAAAACTGTCCTTGCCTGGTGGAATTGTTACAATGCGGTTTATTAGTGAAATCATAGACAAGGATTCCATTTACCAGGGAGAAAAGCACAGACCCCAACAAGAGCCAGGGCACAATCCTGTCAACTTTTACTTTCAGGTAGATGAAGAAGCTGTTCCTGAAAGTGGCAATTTTTATACAGTAAAAGACACAAAGACAGGCTGAAACCCAAAAGTTGGAACAAGTGACAAAGCTCTGAGTACTACTAAGTAGTGGATATATGGGGTGAACATGAAGGTAGTTGGGATAAATGATTGAAAGAAAGGAGTATACCCATGAGATGCACAAATACCAAAACCTGGAGAATCCCACAGCCAGCAAGATCTTATCATAAGACTTCAAGGTTTTCTTTCTCACCCAGGTCATGCAAATCACAGAAACAATGAAAGCATTTATCCACATGCCAGTAAACGTCTCGACGGTCATGATGACCACAACTGTGGCATCATATGAAGTGACATTGAATTGCTCTGAAGAGTGACAAGTTTCCATCCTGGGAGCTGGGAGCAGTGCTGTGCTGGACAAGGGAGCTGTTGCACCAATGCCAAGCGCAGGTCAGCGGCTGCTGTTCCCTGAGTGTCCCGTCTGGAAAGAGGAGCTTTATAGAGCTGCTGGTGGGGGGGATTGTGGTGCCGCTCCCCTTGAGAGCAGGGCAGGTGCAGGGATGTAAATGTGCTGGGTGTCCCCTTACCTGGTGTCAGTGTCACTCTGCAGGATTTGAATGTTGGTTCAGGAGGGCTGTGTTGAGTGACACGAAGATGTTTTTGTGCAGAGGTCAGTGTTGTGATTCTGTGATTGACCCTTGTTTGATCCCTGTCTGGTTTCAAGACTGGATTCTTCTGTCCCTTGGTCACCAATAGGGTTCATTCAGAGTGGGGGAGAAATGCCTCACCTACAACATTGGGGCAGTTTTGGGCACCACAATATAAGAAAGATATTAAGCCACTAGAGAATTCCAGTAGGTTGATGAAGGGCCTTGAGGGGAAGCCTTATGAGAAGCTGAGATCACTCCTCTGTTCAGCTGGAGAAGAGACTGAGGGGAGACCTCATGGCAGTTACAACGAGGGAAGAGGGGAGGCAGACACTGTGTCTTCTCTGTGGGGATAAGTGACAGGACCCAAGGGAATGGCCTGAAGTGTCAGGGCAGGTGTAGTTTGGACATTAGAAAAAAGTTTTTTACCCAGAGAGTGGTTGGGCACTGAGCAGGCTCCCCAGGAAAGTGTTCACAGCACCAAGCCCTACAGTGTTCAAGAAGTGTTTGGGTGATACTCTCAGGCACAGGGTGTGACTCTTGGGGATGGTCCTGTGCAGGGCCAGGAGTTGGACTCAATGATCTTTGTTGGTCCCTTCCAACTCAAAATATTCTATGATTCTGTGAACAATTATTTATCTGAGTCACATTTTCTTACTTGTATGTGGTGCTGATCTAAATTGACATCATCGAGGTGTAGATTTGGATTACTCTGTTAACATAAGTATGTTGATACCATTAAGAGCTGGAGAGGAATGCTCTGAGAAACAGCTGCTATGGAGGGAAATGTCCTGACCCTTCTATCCCACCATGGCAGGGTCCCTTCCAACCTGAAAAGTAGCCCTGTATAAATTGCATTAGGTACAGGCAGATTTTGTTCATCTCTCCAGACTACTTTTATTTGGTTTACTATTAAGTTTTGTTATAATAATGTCACTCCTAAGCTGCTCATCATCCCTCTGCTCATCAACACTTCCCATGGCAAAAGCATTTTTAACTGTTTCACTTCTCAATCATGAAAACTTGGCATGTGACCCAAAGCAGTTTTCCATACCCTACCAGCACTGGGCAGCCCCTCCCAGTGACCTCTGCCATCTCTGCTGTGTCAGCTTCCCCAGGCTGGGCACATCACTGCATCTCTCCATCTGGGCTGTGCACTGTGGCTGTGCTGGTGGATAACGTGTCCCCTCCAGGTCCAGCTGAGTGGGGCTGGTGCACAGGGCACTGATGCTGTGCTGAGTGTCAAGTTCTCAGGGCTTTCATGGAGATGGCAGAAGGTATCTGCAGTGTGGTTTGCTGGGGCTGCCTTGTTTTGTGTGGTGCCATTGGCAGGGTGCTGGTTTTGCCTGCTGATTGTTGTGGTATGTGAGGTTGTGAGGGATGATGTTGCATGGGATGTAGGGAATCAGATGGGTCTACCAGGATCTTGTGAAATCAGTTGGGACTGTCATGTTATGGGATGAAGTGCACAAGCAACAGCAGGAAGAGAAGGGAGGTGTGGTGGTGCCTGTCCTTCAAGGCCTTTCAGTGGGGAGATGTGTGCAGCTGAGATTTTTAAGATCTACCTCAGGACCTGAGCTGGTGAGAGAAATGACCAGTTCAGGTTCTGCTCTGTTCATGCTGGAACTATTTCATGTTTAGAGGACCTGCTGTGGAGGGTTGACCTTGGGCAGCTGCCAGCCCCCACCCAGCTGCTCCTTCAAACTCACCCATACACAGGGCAGGCATGGAACATACGATGGAAAAGCTCATGGGTCAAGATAAAAGAAAGGAGATCACTCACTCATTTGTTATTTTGTCATGACAAAACAGACTTGAATTGGAAAAATGAATTTAATTTATTGCCTATTGAAAACAGAGTAGGATGATGAGGAACAAACACAAAACTAGAAACCGATGTCTCCAATCCCCCATTCATCCCAGACTCAGATCAACTCCACTCTGTCATTTCCAGCTTCTCCACCTCCTCCCCATCAGCAGCACAGGGGGAAGGAGAATGGGGGTTGCAGTCAGTTCATAAAATGTGCTGTCTTCTCCACTCCTTCCTCCTCATGCTCTTCCCCTGATCCGACACAAATCCTATTTCCTGGGTATTTTACTGGGCCAGTGTCCTTTAGTCATTCAGTCATCCACAAGTAAAAGCAGGCCAGGAGAGCAGTCACACAGCACGAGGCAATCCTGTTCTTGCAGGAAGTGGGACAGAGAGGACACTCAGGGCTGGTGTGGGAAGTGGGCTCTGCACCCACCTGTGCACCCCACGGCCATTCCTGCATCGCTGTTTGTGCGTCAGTGACCACCCCTGGAGAGTGACAGGGATCAACATGTTCACACCTCAGTTATCAACCCCTGCCAGACAGTGATACAGCTCATCATCTTACACTAGAACAGGGCCACAGCAGCTAGAAATGTAAACTAAAATAGAGCTAAACCTGTTGTTTAGTTCAGTCATTTCAATCAGCAAGTGCCAAAGCATTAGTGGCAGGTTTGCAGTGTCATTATTGCCCTTTTGCATCCAGCCCATGTATCAGTTTTGCATATTTTTCTGTTACCTTAAGAGCATAGTTTGGCAGAAGATAAACTCCCTTGCGTTCCTGTTGGTCCTCAGAGATCGAAGGGCCTGGGTGTGGCAGGTCTTAATTTCTGATTATAGCCTTCAGCACTGTAAACCTTGTCACATTCAGTAAGAACTTTCATGATCACAGTTTCACAAATAATGGATTTTATTGCAGAAATACAAATTTGGAATTGCCATTGATAAATGCAGTTACTGAATTAACACTAAATATGTAAAAAAAAAAAAAAAAAAAAAGAAAAGAAAAAAGAACAACAATTGGTATTTCATTAAACTTTACCATCAGTTAAGCCTACAAACCCAACTTCACCAGGGCACAATCTGACATAGCTGGAGGAGCAAATCTTACCAAAGAGGCGTCCCTGCTTTTGAGGGGGAGAGTGAAGCAATCCCATTGACCTGTCTACAGAGAGGGGTCATATTCTCAGCCTTTGCCATGGAGGATTTCAAAGGCAAAATTTATACTTTTGGGAGAAGTGGAGGCGAGACTGAGGTCATGCATGGTAGGGACCAGCCATCTTATATATAAATAAGAGTTATCAAGAGTTTTGATTACAAAGAAGGCTGAAGGGGGCACAAGGGCTGAACAGAGCAGTGTTACTATCACTCCATCTTCTGTCTGGCTCAGGCAGAGGTCAGGGGCCTCTGCTGGATAATCTATCATCCCATCAGCAGACTATCATGCACACATTGATCCCTTCACCATATATCTCAGGAATTTATGCCTCATTCCTACCATAAAGGCTAAATGACTTTGTTAATAACAATACTATAACTCAAAGATTTTTCTAAATCAAATCAATAATTTAGCTCAAAAATGTGAATGAAGTTTGCTTAAAGTAGATGAGGAAGAGTGAACATTTGTGTCATCTGCAATGGCTGGAAAGTCCCTTTAGAGATTAAATGACCTGGTCTCTATAGGGAAAGATCCAAATTTTTCAAAGGCTCCAGCTTTTTTTACACTTCCTACCTCATGCAAACCTTACACTTTACACAGGGCAGAATCCTTAGCAGTGTGTTTTTCAGTTTGGGATTGCTGAAAATCAGAACAAGGGAATGAATACCTGGAAAAGCATACAGAAATACATAATTAAGAAATTTCACAGGACTTTCCTTCTCTGTGGCATAAATCATATTGAAGATCAAACATGCGAAGTTGATGCTGTACATTACAAAGAAGGAGAGAATGGATTTCATGGCTTTGATGTGGGCATCCATGCTGAGGTCCTTCATGGAGTTTGTCTGCATGTTGCGTTTGTGTCTCCAGAGGGAAAAGAGAAGCAGAAGGGCAGAAAAGATGACTGCCATGAATGAAGTAGCATACCCAAAGTCAGCGATGAAATAAATATGGAAAAAATGTTCCTGAATTTTGATACTTTCCTTCAAAAAATTTACTGGACAGGTGGAATTGCGGTCCTTACTGTGCAGTTTTCCAGCAATATCATAGGCAAGGATACTGATAGTCAAGGCAAAAAGCACTGACCCCAACAAGAGCCAGGGCACCATCCTGTCAACTTTTACTTTCAGGTAGATGAAGAAGCTGTTCTGGAAATTGGCAATTTTTATACAATAAAAGACACAAAGACAGGCTGAAAACCACAGACTGGAATGACTGAAAAAGCTCTGAATAGATACAAATAGTTGAAGTGTGGGGTGAACATAAAGGGAATGGGGATAAATGACTGAGAGAAAGGAGTATACCCATGAGATGCACAAAAACCAAAACCTGGAGCATCCAACAACCAGCAGGATCTTCTCATTAGAGTTCAAGATTTTCTTTTTGACCCAAGACATGCAAATCACAAAAACAATGAAAGCATTTATCCACATGCCAGCAAATGCCTCAAGGGTGATGACAGCCACAGCTGTGGCATCATATGAAGTGACATTGAATTGCTCTGGAGAGTGACAAGCTTCCATCCTGGGAGCTGGGAGCAGTGCTGTGCTGGACAAGGGAGCTGTTGCACCAATGCCAAGCGCAGGTCAGTGGCTGCTGTTCCCTGAGTGTCCCGTCTGGAAAGAGGAGCTTTATAGAGCTGCTGGTGGGGGGGATTGTGGTGCCACTCCCCTTGAGAGCAGGGCAGGTGCAGGGATGTAAATGTGCTGGGTGTCCCCTTGCCTGGTGTCACTGTTGCCGCAGTATTTGAATGTTGGTTCAGGAGGGCTGTGTTGGGTGGCACAAAGAGTGGAGATGTTTTTGTGCAGAGTTCAGTGTTGTGATTCTGTGACTGACCCTTGTTTGATCCCTGTGAGAATTCAGGATCTGGTTCTTCTGTCCCTTGGTCACCTAATGTGCTCATGCAGAGCAGGGGTTTTGCTCAGCAAAGCACCATCAGGGGAGTGCAGTGTGAGTAATGAAGTCAGGGAATTCTAATGTGAAGGTCATACATGCTGATCTCCTTTACCCTTTGTGCCTTATCTCTTCCTAACAGTCTCAGCTCAGTACAGGCCAAGAGGATAAAGATATATTTTAAAATGTTCTGATCATTATCCTTGTTCTCATCTAATTTTAGGTACTATTTTAAGTTTTGAACAATTTAGGAGAAAAAACAAATAGTAAATTTGTGTAAAGTCATATGTATCTCTTCTGGTTTTACTGATCTCGAGCTGAAAGTTGACAATATGTGAGATTATGTTATAACACGCAATAAAATTTCCCAGCAATAGCTGAGCAATGCCCTGGAAGTCCAAAAGCCTGCTTGTTTATCTCAGCTATCAGCTATCTCAGGTGTCTAAACTACTGGTTTATCTAACAAAAGATATTATCTCTCCCTATGCTCTCTGCCAAAATTACTCCAGTCAGGGAATTTTGCTAACAGCCTCCTGCTCTTTTACCCAGGTAGATATATTTTATACACGCTCTTATTTTTAATGCACACTTATTCATTCTTTCTTTCTAGAATTATAGGTATTTATAATACTTTAAAATCAGAACAACTGCTGTTGTTATCCTGTGCTGTGTATTTCAGCTCTGAATGCTGAAGTTGTTAACCTGGACGCTTTTGACAAGTTCAGCCTTGGGCTGATTTCAAACCCTGTGAAGTGGAACAGACTTACCTGAATTTTGAGAAGCTGGATGGGTAATTTTTTATTAACAACGTAGTTGGTATCACTTTGATATGATAGTTTTTCCAGCTTCAGGAGACATTTGTTTTCATTCTTGCTCGTATGAAGGACATAAATACCTGAGCCACATTTCTGTCTCAGAGTTTATTTGTGTTACACTGGAGTCAAAACCAGTGCACACAGATTAGTAAAAGGTATTATCTGCATTTAGTGACACCATTTAGTGCCTGTGTCTAGGAATCCAGGGTAGATCTGCCATTGGGTGTGGGAATAATGATGCACAGCAATTTTGGGCACAAGGCAGCATATGAGGCTATAAGGCACCTGCTGCACTTTCCTGTGGTCTCATGTTCTGCTACTCCCCTTCCTATATGGGTTGAGCTGAGGCTACTCAGAGTGGAAGAGTAATAGCATTTCCCACCACCAACTTCTTTCCAGGAACTGCAGCCAGCTGAAAACGTACATGCACTGCCCTCCAGGGAGGGGAAAATGAAACTGGTGCTGGAGCACCTCTGCTCTGTAGAAAGGCTGAGAGACCTGGGCTTGTTCAGCTTGGAGAGGAGAGGGCTCCAGGGAGACCTTAGAGCCCTTCCAGTGCCTAACAGGGGTACAAGAGAGCTCTTATACATGTGAGAGGAAATATATGACCTCAGAATGACTTTAGATGTCTTTTTTAGGTTCTTGAGTTATTTTAAAATTAAGGGGACTAAAACCAAAGTGTTTTTCAGACTGTTTTGATTTTGCTTCAATTTTTTGTTCCTTTCTCACATCCACTGCTGCACATCTGTAAATATGGCCTTTGTGATGTGTTTTGACTCTCTTTACTCACCTGTGAAAACGGCTTCTACATGGTGTATCTTGAGACATGCTTCTCTTTTACTAGGAGTGTGTCCTGCTCAGCTCAGGTATCAGTGTCCTTTGAAACAATCATTCCTAAAAGCAAGTGTTGAAGAAAACCCATGTATGCTATGTGAAAGGTTAGTCCTCTGGGGCCCTTCTTCTCAACACAAGAAAAGATTTCCATGCTTTTTACTCTGCAATGTGACCTCTTACTAATAGCTTCCTACTTTGATTTGTTTGGAGGAAAATGTGTTGCTTAAGTTGAAGGCCTTTCTAGGCCAGGCACATTTTCCACTCAAAACCTGCTTGCTTTTGAGGTTTCCTCACACTGAAACCCAGTGTCTCCTGCCAACACTGCTGTGTGCAGTGTGTGAAGCACCTCCAAAGCACTTTTTCTTCTCCTCCTACTCAAGCCCTCTGCATTGTGCTGTGGGTGGTGGTGTCCACAGCTCAAGCCTTTTCCTACCTAATTGCTGACCATAGAGGTGAAAATGCTTACTTTCATGTCTTGTCATTTCAGATGTGAAATGAGGAAGAAGGATTCCACTGCCTCAGTTGAGGCCACTGAGGCACTCCAGGGCACATGGGGCATTTACAAGGGAATAACAGGAATCATCCACAACCTGTCCGAGAACTAGAGAATTCTGGAGCCTTGGCTCAGTTAGCCCATGTGTCCTTCCTGCCCCATGTCCCCTGAGAAAGAAGGCAGCAAAGACCAGCACAAGTTTGTGATCTCTGAAAACCACCAGAAAAGAAAGGAACATTAAGTTGGAAGGCCGGGGATCTACTGATACATGTGACCACTTCTGAGGCAAAGAGTGGCCTGTTGTGCATCGAGGCATCAGTTCTTGGATGGGATCAGCTGTGAGAAAACACTGTCATAATCATATCTCTTGTACCTCTAATCTTTACAGTGTGATGTTAATTATTAATTGAAAATCGCACTGGGCCAAATTCTAATAGCACTGGAGTGTTATAAACCTGGAATAATTCAGTTTAAGAGTGTAGCTTTTCTCCTCTGCAGTCAAGATTGTAATGCTGACACATAGCAAACACAATGCAAGGAGTCAGCAACTTTGAGCCTGATTGAGAACTTTCTTTGTGAAGTCTGGGTGAGTCTTTTACTAGCTGTACTGAAGGCATGAAATTACCACATTCCTCTCTGTAACGTTCCTCCAAAGTGGACTTAGGTAGTTGATAACAGCAATGCCATCATGTGCCATTCAGGAGGCAAATGTTGCTGTTGTAATATTTCAAAGGTGGAAAGCCTGATGCTGGTTGGCTGATGCTCCGTGGAAAGCTCAGCAGCATTCCCTATATATTGCAAGAGATGAGAGAGACCAGCTTCTTTTCCCATTGCAAAAATGGGCTCCAGCATCTTCCCACTGTGCCTGACGCTTCTCCTATGTTATGTCTATGGTTCTCCACTCTCTGTAAGTAAAACCTAATTTCCACAGACTGAGTAAAACCCAAATTTTACAGTCTCCTCTCAGTCCACAGACACCTCATACCTTATACTGACTATTTCATTCTCTTTCAGGTGGGGATCCACTCCAATGGAGCTGGTAAGTGCTGTGTGAGCTGGTTTGAGTTTTGAAGCATTTTCTTGTGCTTGCATGTGCCACTACATCTGCACATAATGTCTTGTCTTGTCTTGCAGATGCTGAAGCTGGTGAGATATTCAAAGACATTCCAGACATCAACTTGGGTGAGTTCATGTCGAAATTCTCATGAGGCCTGAAAAGTTGTGAGCAAAATGCTGAATTTTCTTTCTTGTAAAAAAAAGATTATTGATAGGTAGCTCACATTAACAAGAGAAATATAACCAAGTGAGCTCTGAATTACCTTCCTCTGGCTATGACACCTGAATCTATCCCAGGACTACAACCTTATGTAAACAAGGGATGCAGAAGTCTTCAATTTCTGAAGTTTGGACAGACCCACTGTGTTAAGGCAAAAACACATTGTATCAATTGGAAGGACTCTGGAGTCCCAAAAGCATTTTCTGCCCATCTTTATATGATTTTGATAAAGTTTTTCATAGATGGAAAACAACTTAGATGTTTATTGAGCATCTATGTAAATAGGAAGAAATCAAAGGGAGGAGACACAAACACACTGTGCTGCCTTCCTCCATGATTTTTATCTCCTGCATATTTCCATATTTCTTTTGATGGTGCACTGTGCAATATGCTCGACATTACCAAGTTCTCCAGAGCACTGTCTCACTGCATGGCTGTTGTCACTGCCTCAGAGCAAGCAAGATGTTATCAAACGAGACATAGATAATGGTGGCCACCAGATTTCTGCCACTACAAATGCAGACATTGCCAAGTAGTAAATATTGAGTAGAAACTGCTGTTACTTTTATTATTACCTATATTTGAGTGTACAGAGGCTGTTTCTTACATATTTTCTGTAAGTGCTCATGTACAATAACCTTGTATAAGTAGATTCAATATGGTTTCTGAAATGAAACATATTTGGTCTTTCATTTACATTGTCTTTCATTAAATTGCTTTCCAGCTGCTGGGCAGGACCTCTTTCAGGGTGATATCATGCTCCCTGTAAGTAGTTAAAACTTTCTGTCACTTGTCCTGATTGTATTTTTTCTGCAAATCATCTCATCTCCCCACAGCAGATGCATCACCAGTTGTTAATTCCATTTTCAGAAAGATCAACGAAATGCCCTAAGAAATGAGACTTACAGATGGAAGTTCCCCATTCCTTATATTCTGGGTGATGACCTAGGTAATTCAGACACTTCATTCAGATTTTAGCACCAATCCATATTTACACTGGAGTCACTGTGGTAAAAAATCTGCCTTTTTCAGAACTGGTTCTCTCACATTAAAATTTTAAAATTCACTAATAACTAGATAAACTAGTTTATGTCAAAACCTTTTCTCTTTCTTCTACAGTTAACATAATAAAACACAGTTTAATCAGATTCAGCCATTTTTCTTTTCAATCATTTTTCTTCTTTGTCCCCTGTGTGTATCTGTGTACATACGTTACCT